ATTTCTTCGAACGATATGCTTCTCGTCCCGCGAATTCTTCGCTCGTTCGTGGCGATCGCTATTATTCGAGAAACGCTCGCGTTCGATTCGTTGGACCGATTACTCGAGGACGCGATACCTATACTATTTCCACCGGTCAGAATGTCGTTGCATCTCTGTCGACTCGGGCAAGGTAAAAAGAGAGGAAAGAAGACGCGTTCGAAATTAATTCTTTTTCGTTCGGTCGAATCAACAAGACGATTTAGAACTTGAAATGATTTTATAAATTAACGTATAAAACTTTTATATTTTAATATTTTATGTATCAATTAATTTTTATACGTAAATTTATTCACGAAGCGATATTCTAAAGAAATATAATAAATATTCGAATTATCGCATTGATGCAAGTGGAAAAAGTTAATCTTTGATTTCGCAGAGGACGCGATCGAATTATCCAAGAAGATGTCGAGCAAGCGTTTGATTCACGAGATTCATCGGGAACTCGATGGATTCGCGGCACGGACGCACGATATTTGGGAGCATCGAGATTTGTACGTGTTGGATTTGAATTGCGATTATGCGATTCCATTGTTGCGAGCGGTGCGTATATATTCTCGAATCCTGAAATTGGACCGATGAGTCATGATTCGATTCGCAGGCGAACGGGACAGGTATGCTCTCCGCGCCGATAAAATGGCTGCTGCTTCGAGATCGATCGTCGGTCGATGGAGATTCGACGGGCGAAAGAGAAACGTTGAAAAACATGGCCGTATATCCTGACAGCGAAGTGATCGTCGCGAGGGAAAGAATGAACGGTGTCGTGGAGATAAGCTCCGTGTACAGACCCAGTCCTTTCCACGAGACGATCGAGGAGGATCGAGGGAACTGGACGATCGAATATGGCGTACGAATGCCAAATCTATATCCCTCGTCGCGACGAAGAAGAGATCTTCGACGCACGCCGTTGAAATCCTGCCTCGTGGTATTTTTCCTGATTATATCGATCGATCACGAGCTCACCTTAAGGATTAGCGAACGTACGCGTGCAAAGCTCCGTTCGTTTCATTTCGGATTATAAAGTAATTGACTCGGTCGATAAATACGACGCGATAAGTCGATCGATAAGATATCGCCTCTTGAAGAGGGATCAGAGGAAACAAAGAGGTTTGGAATGGTTGGAAAGAACATGATGCGTCCGCTGATCCGTTCGGTAGAGTGGAAAATTTACAGGCATGGACGAATAAATCACTCTCTCACCATCGTAGATGACCGATCCCGATACGATCAACCATTTAACTGATTACGAAAATAAGCATATAGATCCAGTTACGAAGGCCAATTATCCTTGGATAATGCACATAGCGAATCGAATGAACGCAACGTGAGTCGTTTCTTCCTCTCTTTCTCTCTCTCTGTTTGGCGAGTCATATCTTTAAACTTGATTGTTTAGAATTAGCTTTCGCGTAACGGATAGCTGGGGATATCGAAGCGAGAACGGTACGTGGAGTGGTATGACGGGGATGTTGCAACGTAGGGAAATCGACATAGGCGGGACGGGAACTTTCTTTATTCCACAACGTATCGGTGTGGTAGATTATATACAACTTTACACGCACACCAGGTAACCTCTTTTTCGCACTTCTTCACATAGCGTAACTACTTTGACCGACTATATTTGCGTCACTATAGAGCATGCTTCATCTTTCGTCAACCTTTGCTGTCCACCGTTAGCAACATATTCACGCTACCGTTCCAACGATCCGTTTGGATTGCGATCGCAGTTTTCCTCTTGCTGTTACTCGGATTGCTCTGTTTCTCCACCAAATGGGAGTATCGAAGAGGTGCATCAACGAGCACGGCTCGATATTGGCAACAATTCAATCCAGCCGAACAAACGGTTAGCGATAACTTGATGGTTGTATTGGGAGCGATCGCGCAACAAGGTAACCTACCGCGTTACGAACGATTATATATATTCGTCATTTATCGTCAAATTCTTCTTTCCTTCGTTTCAGGCAGTGATATGGGGGGAAATTTAATAATCGAAATTACGAATAAAGTTATTTCGATAATTTATTCAAAATATAATAATAATTGTAAAAGCTGTGGCGTAAAACGGCTGAAAATTATATAAAAAGCGGATAAATTATAACGTTATTCGAATATTTTAATATAAGTAGTCACTTAAAGTAACTTTATTCGAAATTTTTAACCAACTACTTTTTCAACGGGTTAACCTTATTTAAGCTAACCTAACTTTTACCTGGTTTCAGGATATTCTTACGAGCCATATCGCGTTCCCTCGAGAATAGTTACCTTGATGCTTTTGATCGCAGCGCTTAATTTGTACGCTTCTTACACGGCAAACATCGTCGCTCTGCTTCAATCGACCACCGACTCTATCAAAACACCGGCCGATCTGTTGCACAGCCCGTTGAAATTGGGCGCTCAAGACGTGGTATATAGCCGACATTATTTCAAGGTACACTTGAGATTTTGAAAAATTTTTCCACGCGTACGATAGACGTCGAAATCTCTTGATTTATACACAGAGTTTTCAAGATCCGATACGAAGAGCGATAGTCGATCAAAAAATCGAGCCGAAGGGTCAAAATGGTTCGTGGATGTCAGTCGAAGAAGGTGCACGCCGCGTCAGAAACGAACTGTTTGCGTTTCACGCGGAACGAGGCGCCCTCTACAAGATCATGCAGGAAACGTATTTCGAGGATGAGAAATGTGGAATCATGGAAATAGACGTAATGAATATGTTGGATCCGCTTCTAGTTATTCAAACTCGATCCCCGTATTTAGAGATCGTCAAGAACGCGTAAGATAGAAACGGCATGCGAGCGACTTAAACGACTTATATATGTATATATGTATATCAGTTACACTTTTAATTCGTTTTCGTAGAGCTCTTCTATTGAGAGAAACCGGACTCAAAGTTCGCGAAGATGTCCGACTGTACACGAACAAGCCCAAGTGTCATGAACGGAAGAGCTTCGTTAGAATAGGTTTCACCGAGTGTTACTTCGCGCTGGTCGCGTTAGGTTATGGGACGCTTCTCAGTCTCGTCGTGTTGGCGATCGAAATCGTTTGGCATAAAAAAATCCAGCAAATTCGTTGGGGTCGAACATTGAAGAGTAACGATGCAATGACTATCGCGACGTGGAGCAAAGCTGTTCCGTTCGAATTCGAATTTGAGGAGGAGGACGAGCATCCGACGACGAGAGGGGGGATTCGATCGATAACTCGATTCGATTCGATGAACCTACGTAAAAACGTAAATGAATAATATTTTTTTTTTCCAATTACAAGCTAGTTCCGTGTATACGTACAAACGAGTTAAACAGTAGACGGTAAAAAGTGTTGATAATAATTCTTGGTAAATTCTAGCATGAGGTCGAGAGTGCACTCGGGTAAATCTTCGACGCACTTGGCAGGATTGCCGGCGAAACGAGTGAACGAGGGAACTACGGTCTCCGGTGGAACCACAGCTCCATCCTCGATGTAACAACAATCCTTCAAGACGCACCTCCTTCCCTGTGTAGTTGAAAGAGCACTTACGATTCTTTCTCTCTCTTTCTCTTTGTGTACTATATACGTACGAATAAATTCTTGTGTTTGCGCATGATATATCGATACGTACGATCACCGCATTTTTTCCAATGTATATGTAAGAACCGACGATGGCTGCGTTAACCACTGCTCTTTCTCCTACGAAAACGTGGTCACCCATCGTCAGAGGGAAGAAGGCAACGCTGAGGAAACGAGACGAACGAATATGTATATCGTTAACGTATCGATTACGAATTGATCGAATCGATTGATTACCAACCCTCTGCTGAACTTTTTGAACGGCGGCCTTATGATGGCGTTCTTACTGATGATACAATAACGTCCCGTTCTCACGTTCGCCAAATCGCCCCTGATAATAGCATCCGATTGTACGATCACTTTTCCGTGCAACACAATATTCTGCGATCCGCATAACACTGTCTGTCTGCTCACTTTATTCCCCGATGCCTGAAAAACATTAAAGTCGAAAGAGAGTGGAAGATGAAAGAAGAGGTTAGGTATATTCTTTGCCATTGCCGAATACCGTTCAACGTTTCGTTCGTTTACTTACCGTTTCCACGTATTCTGCCTTGCTGTAGTAAACGTCTTGCGGTTCCATATCGTTGTTCGTAACTTCCTTTTCTTGTCGCTTCGAAGAAGAAACATCGATCGAACTCGGAGCGCATACACTCTGTTGTATGTCAACGACGCACGTACTTCACACTGTAAAGTTTCGCCATCTACCAATGAGATGGACTAACTAACGAAGCCGTAGCGGTAAATACGATTCTCAAAATCAAAATCGAATCGTTCGTTAATAATCGTAAGATAACATTGAATCGATAAGAGAAAAAAAAAAGAAAGAAAATGGTCCAAAAATCGCTCGATCTGTTAAAAATTTCAATCGAATGAATATAATAATTCCGACCTTGATTATGTAACGATCGATTCGAGCACGATGTTGTGACGCATCGACTCCATGGTAACGACGGGAGAAAAAGGAAACAGAGAGAGGTAAGTATCGCGTTTTCTATTATTCAAGATAGGAGGATGTCGTTGTTCAAGACGAAAGAATGGTGGCAAACGAGATGCGGAGCAAACGAGACTTTCGACAAGCACAGCTTGATGGCAGCGCCGTTGTTCGGGAAAGAAAGGCACCACGATATCATTGTGGTGACTAGTCACGATGGTTACCTAAGGATGTACGACCCGTCTTCTCGATGGATAGATGAAACGAAATCACCGACCAACTACAAATCGACCGATCTCATGATCGAGAAGCGAGTCGGCGATTGCATCGTGGATGTTAAAACGGGCAAATTCGTTTCGTGAGTAGTACACGAGTATTCGAAACAATCGAAGGTTAATTTAAACAATTGCAGGGGATCGCAGGATTCACGGCTAGCCGTGTTGACCGATTCAAAGCTGCTCGTCTACGATATGATTTTGGTCGAAGGATCTGAAACCGAATACGGTACTATTTCTTTCTCTCTCCCTCCCATTCTCGTAGTTTCACGATATACACCTAAAATTATATTACCATACTACTATAAACTATACTAAAAAATTATTCCAGAAAATATATTTAGTTTATTAGAAGTTTTAAAAGTAAGAAAAGTGTATATACAGTAATTTATTGTTGACAATGTTGAAACGTTGTATAAGATAAGGATAAAAATACATTATATTTTCTTTTGTAAATTGAGAATTGTATATATATGTATACATATATATAGATATTCTCAAGACGATCTTTGAAGAAAAATTAGCGAAAGAGCTAATTTTTCTCTCGGTCGTCTCAGATGGAATATAGGGAGCGTTTCGATCGACAGGGGATCGATGCGAGTTGAAGATCAATTACGAGCATCGATTGCCGAGGTTCCCGGCCTCCTTGACGGTTGGGCCATTCGGCGGGGTCCGCGGCAGGGATTTTCTCTGCGTTCAATGCCTGGACGGTACCCTTTTGTTCTACGAGCAAGAGATGTTCGCGTTCAGCCAGACGACGAGGAATCAATTGCTGGCCGAGCCGATCGTCTACGTATCCCGATACGATCTCT